CATTTTAGAGGCATCAATTCGAAGTTTTAACAACAAATTCAAGGTTTATGATTCATGGTTCTTCACATATGTCAAACACAAAACTCAACCAAATGACCATTTATGAACGTAGAAACGATCTATACGAACATTCTAATCACTAGATATATCTACGGGCTTACTTCGGAGTGAAACGATGATTCCGGCGGAAAAACGGTGAAACTTCCGGCGAACACCACGGCTTGCTCCGGCGACTTCACACCAAATTGAGAACACTACTTTACTCTCTATACTCACACCTTTGTTTTGGAAGAAGAATGGTGAAGAATGGTAAGAATTTGGGGTATTATATAGTGGTAAGGAGAGGAAGAAGACATGGCCGGATGACCTCCTCTTGCACTGTTTGTTCGGCGGTAGTGGGAGGGGCGACGGATTTGATTAATTCCCTACGTAAGTCCCTGATGGGCACTAATTTGGTTCCAATTGGGGTATACTTTTTGGTCCAACTTTCTCCGAATTAAAATCTGATTAAACCATTGCGGTCGGACAGTTAAACTCTATTTAATGATATAATTTTTATATTTATTTGAAATACTTTTTCTGACAGCATATTTTTGGGTGTTGACTTTGACAGAGTCAAAATTTAATTAATTTATATGTAATCAAAATTAGTCTCATATTCAATCAATATTATTAAATGTAAATAGTTATTTCAATAAATCATTTTACAAAAAGTTCACATCTTTGACTTTTTCTCATTTTTATACAAATTACATATTTAAAATGTCATAATTGAAAATCCGTACATCAGATTTATTCATAAAATATACCGTTAGATTTGTCTCTTGGAGACCTATCCATAAAAGTCAATCTTAACAAAAATCATTGACTCTAAAAATTCCTTTATTTTTGGTCAAACATTTAAATAATGCTTTGTTGAGTCAAAATATGGTTTAATTGAATTTTATTCAAAAAGGGTCTCACATTTAATTCATATTATCTATTTTCATGATTTATTTCAATAAATCATTTCAAAGTTCACAATTTCTTCATTTATTCTTAATTTGGGTCTGTACTCAGGTTCCCAATCAAGATCATACAATAAGTCAACTTATTGGATTTATCTCTATAAGATTTATCCAGATTGTGATATTGAATATTTAAACATATTTCATTTTGGCTCAAAGCCCAACAAACATTTATAAAAAATTTTGATTTATTGATTATTTATTTATTAATAATTCCCACTTAGTCCAATGATACTTGTTGTTCCCACTTGAGGTGCCCCAAAAAAATTTGCCATCATTGAATGAAGTTTATTAATGACAGACTTTGGGAGAGTGTGTACAGCAATAAGGTGTAGTGGAATGGATGAAAGCACATGCTTTATGAGAATAAGTCTACCACTTTGGTTAAGAGTCTTGCTATACCAACTATCAAAGTACTTATTAAAGTGTTTGAGAAGCTCACCACAATCAGTTTTCTTTAACTTTCCCTTGCAAATTGGTGCTCCAAGATATTTGAAAGGAAGCTTGTCATGTTTCATTCCCAGGATTCCTTCAATCTTGCTAATGGCTGACC